GTGTCAGTAAATGCAGCCCTCGGGCCAATGTACTAGTCCTCATATGGCCCTCATGGTCATTTGAGTTTGAGACCCCTGATCTAGACCATCCCTGACAGGTGTTTGTCTAACCTGCTCTTAAAAATCCCCAATGATGGAGATTCCACAACCTCCCCAGGCACTTTATTCCAGTGCTTAGCCACTCTCACAGTTAGGAAGTTTTTCCTAATGTCCAGCCTAAACTGCCCTTGCTTAAATTTAAACCCATTGTTTCTTGTCCTATCCTCAGAGGTTAAGAAGAACAATTCTTCTCCCGTCTCCTTGTAACAACCTTTTATGTACGTGAAGACTGTTATGTCCCCTCTCAGTTTTCTCTTTTCCAGACTAAACAAACCCAATTTTTTCAATTTTCCCTCATAGGTCATGTTTTCTAGACCTTTAGTCATTTTTGTTGCTCTTCTCTGGACTTTCTCCAATTTGTCCATATCTTTCCTGAAATGTGGCACCCAGAACTGGACACAATATTCCAGTTGAGGCCTAATCAGCGCAGAGTACAGTGGAAGAATTACTTCTCGTTTCTTGCTTACAACACTCCTGCTAATACATCCCAGAATGATGTTTTCTTTTTTTTGCAACAGTGTTACACTGTTGACTTATATTTAGCTTGTGGTTCACTATGACCCCCAGATCCCTTTCCGCAGTATTTTGTATGTCCTTATTGAATTTCATCCTGTTTACTTCAGACTGCTTCTCCAGTTTGTCCAGATCATTTTGAATTTTAATCCTATCCTCCAAAGCACTTGCAACCCCTCCCAGCTTGGTATCACCCGCAAACTTTATAAGTGTACTCTCTGTGCCATTATCTAAATCATTGATGAAGATATTGAAAGAACTGGACCCAGAACTGATCCCTGCAGGACCCCACTTATTATGCCCTTTCAGCATGACTGTGAACCACTGATAACTACTTCCTGGGAACGGTTTTCCAACCAGTTTTGCACCCACCTTATAGTTGCTCCATCTAGATTGCATTTTCCTAGTTTGTTTAAGAGAAGGTCACATGACTATCTTATTAAAGTCAAGATATACCACATCTACCACTTCCCCCTTTCCACAGGGCTTGTTACCCTGTCAAAGAAAGCTATCAGGTTGGTTTGACATGATTTGTTCTTGACAAATCCATGCTGACTGTTATTTATCACCTTATTATCTTCTAGATGTTTGCAAATTGATTGCTCAATTATTTGCTCCATTATCTTTCCGGCTACAGAAGTTAAGCTGACTGGTCTGTATTTCTCCGGGTTGTCCTTATTTCCCTTTTAATAGATTAGCACTATATTTGCCTCATTGCCAGGGCAGCATATCGTTTTTCCATCACCATGGTGGGTGGGTGGGGAGTAGTAACCAGCAGCCAGTGTCCTCCCTGTGACAGAGCCATATCCTCCTCCCCTGGTGGTGTGACAGCAGTCCTCTCTAGCTGGATAACGTCCTCAGCCTTGGATGTATCCATATGAATACTCTCGAGAAATTCCTCATGGGCACGGAAGCTCCTCAGCCTAGCTACCTCCTCCTGTAGCTCTCCCACCTGCTTCCTGGGAGATTCCACCACCTTTCACACTGGATGGTCCCCCCAGCCTCTCTGAGAGTGGGAAATGCAGGTCACAGTCGCTGCAAATCCACACCAGGATCTAGGTAGAGGCATCCATGGTTAGGTTCTCTGTCTGGATACAGGTGCAGGTGGAGGAGACAGGAGCAGTGTTGGCACTGGCGATGTGACCCCTCCTAATCATAGCAACTATATTATGTTTCCCTCTGACAAACTCCCTCTCAAACTCCCCTGTTCACTAGTTCCGCTTGGTTGCTTTGCCTCTGGCTTTTAAGGCCTTCTCTCCTAGGTCAGCCTTACCCCCTCGTTAATCACACAGCGGGGGGCGGGTGGGTGATCACAAGTCTGATTGAGGCTGATCAAAGATGATCAGGGATGATCCAGGGAACAAAGTCTCAAACAGTCCCCAGATACACAATCCCAACTGACCCAGTAACTGAAATAATTGACAATAACTGAAATAACCTGAAAGAGAAAGAAACACACAAACAGCCAAACAAACTCACTCACCCCAAGGTTAGTACCTGCACCTTGTTCGTTCAGCAGGGGGATCTCCTTCTCCCCCTCTCAAACTCCCCTGTTTGCGGTCCCCTGTTCGCTAAGATGTTATTGTACCTTACACACATTTTGGGACATATCACTGAGAACTCAATTCTGCCTCTATTCAGAACACAGTGAAAAAAATATAATTTGCCACATGGACAAGGGTAAAAATTGTACTTAAAGGTGCACAATGCCTAGCACAGTTGGTCCTTTATATATGACGGTGAACAGTAAGTGCTATTGCTATATAAATGTAATGCCAACCCTCTGGCTGGGTTATTTGATCAGAAGTGGGGATTGAACCCGGCACCTCTGGATCTTAATATGGGAGCATCTACTGCCTGAGTTAAAAGAACCCACACCTTAATCAAGACTATACTAGGCTCAACAACTGCTATTTGGCCTAACCGCCACTAGAGAGGGACACAGTGCCACACTGAGTAGGCATAGCTTATAGATGTAACTTACACAAATAGTAAGGGCTTGATCCTGTGAGGTGCTGAACACCTTCTACGCCTACTGACTTTGATGGGATTTGGGGTGCTCAGCCACTTTCAGGACTAGGGCCCTACCTCTTTTAAGATCATATCATAATGGAAGGTAAGAAACTTCACAGCCTCAAACTGTTAATTTGCCAGGATGGTTTTCATGGATATGAGGCCCAAAGTCTGGGTTAAGTGACTATTGGGCAATTATGTTCTGCTGCCCCCCCAAAAAGCCCCACATTGCATAAATTATTTCTTGTTACATTGTCCCCAACTCTCTGCTAGTGGTGCTGTGCTGTTTAAAGACTGCCACCCTGCACTGCAGGAGTGGGATCCAGGAACTGTGGCTACGTTTCGCTGATGGCTGAAATGACTGCTGTATGAACGAAGGCCAAATCAGTGGAGTTGCACTAGTGTAACCGAGGGCATATCCAGGTTAACAAGGCTGTATCCTGCTCCCCGTTGCACAAGCGTACGCCCATTACCTTGATGGATCTGAGAGTGGAACCTGGCCCATAGCTTGTAATCAGTTTGTAGAACTTGTCAGGGGCTTTGGGATTTGGGGGTGAAAGGTGCTCTGTAAATGTCAGTCATCTTTTACTAGCACTAGCTGGAGCACACAACGACTGCATTCGGACTGAGAAGCAGAGCCTGCCAGAGGCACTTCACCAGGACACGGGGAGGGGTCCTCTGAAGACACATATTGAACAGTAGCGTAGCTAGGGGGGAAGCAGGAGGAGTGGCCGCTCCCCCACTGAGCACAAGTGGCGCCTTGTCAATTTCCTGGCGCCTTTGTACTCACCAGGGGGAGCGATAAAAAAAAAAAGGCGCCACCCGCTGCGGCGCTTTTATTTTACTCACCCGGCGGCGGGACCTTCACTCGCTCCGGGTCTTCGGCGGCGGGACCTTCACTCGCTCCGGGTCTTCGGCGGCGGGACCTTCACTCGCTCCGGGTCTTCGGCGGCAGGACCTTCACTCGCTCCGGGTCTTCGGCGGCGGGACCTTCACTCACTCCGGGTCTTCGGCGGCAGG